GAGTAGGAGCTAAAGCCTCGGTTTAGAGTGGGAAGCTCTGCCGGGAAAAGGACAGAGTGGGTGGGAAGTTGAAGGGAGCACATGGAGTCCTTAGGACGCAAAGGATCAAAAGCGTCCTGGGTTGGGGTCTTTTAGGTTCCCTAGATTCTGAACATTGTAGATGATATCCTGATCTGAGTTTCCCCAAACCTCCAAATTCGCCCCAGATTTTAAGAGTAGGGTGCAGGTGTTTGTTATCACAGGCTTCTCCTCTTGGTTGTCACAATTTGACACTCCGCTAATAATTGCCACAGCCCTTAAAAAACTTTTTCTTCTGTTTCTCGTTAGTCCATTTTATATAGATATGTTTTGATAAAGAATTATCATTCCATCAAAGTTCTGGAATACCTGGTAGAGTTAGCATGGATTGTGGAATATTTTTCTAGACTCCTTATTCTGCTCTCCTTTTTCCTACCCATTTAAACTTTAGGAATTCTTGTAGGATCTTACTCTCTCGTTGCTTATATGAGAATTTTGGTGGTAAAAGGGATGTATTAGCTTCCTTGTCCCTATGACCTTTTTTGCTTGTTTAAACAAATAAAGCATTTTTACCCCTTTTTCAAAGTTGGATCAGAGAATTTCTCTCAAAATTGCCCCACCCGTTTTGCAATTTGGAGATGTTAACATAGATTGCATATAGAGGAGTTTAGCTCCCAGCTCCTTTCTTAATTGAACTGAACTCTAGGCCTCTTGTCTTTTTCCTTTCCTTCAGCTCTAATATATGTAATACAATTCAGATCCTCATCAGGTAAAAGAGAATGACAGGTTTCAATTCACCTTTTTCAAAATAGCAAAGATAGAGATAATTCCATCTCCTTATATGGTTGAAAGTTTAATATTTGAGTGATTTATTTTGTTTAATTTGAGTAGTTTTTAATGAGATGTTTTCTCTCCCAAGCAGTTAACCAGTATTAACCAGTTAACAAATTGGAATAAGTTCTAGGGGATTGGTTTCCTTGGAAGTTTTTAGAATTTTTTAGACTTGCCTACATCTGTTTATAGAAGGGAGCCTACTTACGGGTAAAGGAGTAAGGGAGATGATACTTTGGGAAGCTATGTGTCATGAGTGAGTTGAAGGACTTACATGTAAAGTCTCACATTTTCTCTTCTGTTATCTGTCTCTGATTTCTCAGTGAAGTGTATTTCAACCTGCTTCTTTCTTATATCCATTTTAATCTGTACCTTAGATGCCACATTCACAGATCCCTGCTAACCTGGTCAGGTACTCCAGTCCTGAACTTTGCTTTAAAAACTATACCGATTCTTTGTCATGATGAATGTGTGTAGTGGGGTTAGGGGAAACTAAGGTATAGGGAAAAGGACTTGCTTAAAGAAGTACGTTGTCAGAACTAGATTAGATTTTTATTCCTAATCCCAGACTAATTCTCTCTCCTATTACTTCATCATCAGCTTCCACCTCTTCAACATACAAAATTGTACTTTGACCATCAGTTACGTAAACTTTTTATTGGGGGCAAAGTGCCAACACTTATCAATTCTTGTGCTGATCTCGAGAATTCTTATGGTATTAAACTAGTATTTTCCTTTGTCTCCTTTGTGTCAGCTCTTTTCAACTTTTTTTTCCTCTTTACAATTCCAATATATTTTAGGCTCCCAATTAAGAATTTATATACCTTCCTCACCATTCTAGCCCTTCTCAGCTGGAGTTCAGGAGAAAGTTAAACCCTAATGACTTAAGGCATTCATTGTATATAGTTAATCAACTTCTCTGTATCCACAATGGCACTGGTTTTGTACCATCCTTTGGAGAAGTGAGAAAATAGCCCCATAAAAAATTTTTCAACATTCAGTGGTTCAGATGAGGAATCATGGTGCAGAATTAGGTGACCATAAGTTTTTCATTCTCTTCTCACCACCTTAACATACTGGCCCCCAATATTTAGCTCTGTCTTGATTCAGAATCACCCTTCTTCACTGTTTCTTTTGCTCTCTTCCCCTTGTTTTGTCTGTTCAATAGCATCTCCTGATTATTAGGTCACTGTCTTCATTGTGAAAAAATAAGAATCTGTGGATCTTTAGCTCTCTATTGAACTAAAGGGTTTACTGTAGCCGGATAGTATTTAACAAGCCACTCCTTAGAACGGGAGACAATTCTAAAGTTCCTTTAGGTTTCCTCCTTTCACAATTTTGTTACCTGGTTTGGCTGGGTCTCTGGGGAAATCTGATCAGAGCATATTCTTCAATTGTCACACCTACAAAGCACATAAAAATAGAATATTGAGAAGAAAGGAAGGGTAAGCTAGAGGAGGTCAAGAAGAACCATAAATTGAAATTTGATATGATTATGGGTATATCTAAATACCAGTAGTTTCCTTTCATTTAAAGATTTTACAGTGGGTCACATTTCTTTCTTGAATTAAGTAGTCTAGTCCTCGGGCACATTTGTCTAAACTTTCTCAGATTTTTTTAGTCTCTAAGGAAAGAGACCTTTTCATTTCCATCTGTTCCCAGTAGTTAATAATGCTCCCAAGACTTAACTTCCTCTCTCTTGCTGTTTTCTGCTGGTTTTCCTTGCCTTGTGAATGGAAGGGGAGCTCTGCAGGTCACCATTTTCCATTAATCTTTTTTTTTAATTTATTTTTTATTTTGTATCCTTTTCCAAGGACATTTTTCATTTCCTTTTTTGGAGAGAGAGAGGAAGGAAGAGAGAGAAACATTGATGCGAGAGAAGCATTGATTGGCTGCCTTCTCACTTACCCAAACCAGGGATCATGCCTCCCTGGACCGGTGATGAACCTGCAACCCAGGCATGTGCCCTGGCCAGGAATTGAACGTGCAGCTTTTTGGTTACAGGACAGTGCTCCAACCACTGAGCCACATCAGCCAGGGCTAATTGATTTTGTGAGAGAGAGCGAGAGAGAGAAAGAAGAGTGGTGGAGGGGAGAAACAAACATGGGTTTGTTACACTTACATATGCATTCATTGGTTGCTTCTTGTTTGTGTCTTGATTAGCGATCAAACCTGCAATAGTGGCGTATCAGGACAATGCTCCAACCAACTGAGCTACCTGGCCAGGACAATAACTTGTGGAATCTTAAAGATAATGGCTTATCCCCTTCCTCTCTTGGTTTACCTTTTTTTCCAAAGCTCAATTACTTTCGCAGTCTAGATCCTTAAACCTTCCCTCATAGATTTCATGTTTCCTAATCTCTGGATTCACTTTCATAGTGCTTTTCCAGTGCTTTATGGACCATACTTCTTATTCGTATCCTTTCTCTTCCCTTCATAACTTTTTTTTTTTCTGTCTTGCTCTTGATAACATTTTTATCTTTAAAAAAAATAAAAAAGAAAGACAAAATCATAACTAAGCCTCATTCAAACATCAAGGCATCCAAAGTGCACAAGAGTGTATATATATGTATATATGTGTGTGTGTGTATATATACATATATATATATATGAGGAAACTATGCAGAATACATCAGTGACTCTTAAAGGTTGATACTGCTCTGTGGCCCTAGCTTCCTGAATTATCTTAATGGGGCTTTTGTTAAATTCCTTTGGCACTAACAGTAGAGATACTTGGCCTAAATGCCCCCTCCTCTTGCTCTCCGCAAAGGTATCAATTACATTAAGCCCCAAAAGCACTCCCATCTCATTCCTGGCAGTCCCCTGTGCCCCTCTCCCAGCTGCGTCCTTGCTGGTGCCTGGCCCCTCCATTTCGTTAGGAGAAGCAATCTCCTCGTTCCTGCACTGTGGAGATATATTTCTCAGCTAGGGCGCGTGCAGTGCCAGCACTGCCCCCGGTGAGGTCCCTGGCAGCCATAAAAATTTTTATTGTGATTATGTTGGTGTCGGGGTGTCCATCTGGGTTATTGCACACCTAGTTTAATTGATTGAAGTTTAATTTATTGACACTTCAAATTAAATGATCAGAATAAACTGTGCTGCTACTCTGGCCGGCTTGTTTTAATGGTTGATTGCTAGAAGCAGACCTTGGCTTGAACTAAAACCCCTAAAGAGCAATTGACGCAGCTTCTAACTCTCCCCATGTCTTGCCCTCCAAGAAGACCTCGTTATAGATTTCCGACGTATTTATATATATTTTTTCCCTCTCCTTCACAGTGGTGGGAAAGAGTTGGTCCCTGGCAATGTATAAATTATATCAAAGGCCTAGGGGAGCTGTCACATGGTCAAAAGAGGAGGAGGAGCCTCCACATGAAGAAAGCCAAACCCTTGAGAAAGCAGGTCTTCCCTGGGAGATAGAGGATGAATGCAATATCCAAATACTAGAGGGAGCTTAGTGATGAATTTAGGGTCTTTTTCTTGTAGATACGTGCTACTGTTCTTTAATCCATCGACATGACTTGTTTAGACAGGATATTGACAAACAAACTAGTTATGGAAAGGGGAACTAAGGAAGCAAAGGATAGAACAAGAATAAAGAATCAGTGCCAAACTACCCATTTATGCCAGAGTAATTAGGAAGATGTAGGCAGAGTGCCCACGGGCAGCTGATGAAGATGGTTTGGGAGGTTAAGTCCATGAACATGTTAAGATGTCCCTACTGGCAAGGGCCTATCCGCATTCTGCCTCTCCTGATTCTGCACTGAGTAGGCTTTCTCTCAGATCAGGTTATTAAGAGTTCTGTCTTTAGATTCCCTAGCCTGTGTCATCTCTTTTGGCATTTGACCACCCCATTTCTTCAGAAAGTCTTCCCTGTTGTATAACCTGAGTCTTACGTGCTTTAGATGAAGCCTAGTTCTCCTCATTTGGCTTTTTAATTTTCCCACTATCAAGGCAGATAATCCCCAGTCACAGCCAACTGGCCTGTCTACCAGTTTTTCCCCTCCTATTCTCTTATTTATGTAGTTTTTAGAGGGAGATTGAAACTAGGAGAGAGGCTAGCAATTCTGCCTCAAAGGTTAATTTGGGGGAGCAAATAGATTGAAAGATGAATACAGAGGCTATCAATTCAGTCTTTAAAGACTGGCTTTTTGGTGCTGACTTTAGCAGTATATACAGTAAAATTGGACTGATACAGAGAAGATGAGTATGGCCCCTGCACAAGGATGATGTGCAAATTAATGAAGCCTTTCATATTAAAAACAAACAAAACAAAACTACCTTTTTGTTTTCAGGAGCAGATGAGGGGAGAGCGGAGTTGGGAATAAATTAGGATACAGGTCATAACCAAGGACTCATCAGAAACGAATCTGTCCCCATTTGATTTTTCTCTTTGCTGAGTGATATTTATATGTCGGCTTCTGAATTACCAAACTGGGAAGGCAGAACGTTCTGATGTTGCTCCTAAGCCTCAGGTGAAGAGTACTCTGATTTCTGCTTGTTCAGTTAATTTCTCTTCCCAGTAAGTGCTGCTTGCTTTGTCCTACATTTCTGTAATTATTTCACTTCTATAACAGTTGAAGAATTAGGGACTGTGTGACCTCTGGGCATAAAATTCTTTAGTAGACCAGCTTTCTGAATTTTAATAAAGGGCCTGAGACTTTGCTTTCCTGAAGAGCCCGTGGCTTCGTTATCTTTGTCTGCCTGTCTCACAGTCACCAAATTTAGTCGTTGAAAGCTGGAGGGGTATGGTGTTGACCTTTTCTCTCCCTTCTGGCCATGTTAGTTTTCTCAGTCATATTTATTTATTTATGAAGGTCTCTCTCTCTCTCTCTCTTTCATTGAAGTCATTAGTTGGTGCCAGGCAGAGAAAAAGGGTGATTTACAAAAGTATCATTCGTTTTCCCCTTTTTTCATTTCCTCCCCATACCATCTTATTATCTTCAGAAAGAATCTCATTTAATTCTAAACCTAGGTCGATGAACTCCTTCAAATCATAACAGTTTGTGAGTGTGTATTTTTCTGGTAACAAGGTCCATAAATTTCATAAGTGTATCAAAGAGATCTGCCGTACTTCAAAAAAGGTATTGACATTAACTGATCTAGCTCAGGCCTCTATTTTCTCCAGTGAGGAAGCTTAGTCCTAGAGAAATGTAGAACTTGAGGTAGTGGCTGATCCAGACGATAATACAAGGATTTTCTAGCAGTTTAGAGACATTTTCTTCTTCTGTAGTGTCAGAATTCTTGGTGATTGCGCATTCATGTTTTGTATCTATGTCAGAAAGGAAGATCATTTCTAGATATCTATTCTGCCCTCAGTCCTTCCTTGCTAGACGTGTTTGGTTTCTTCTGTATAACCAATATTTGGTCTCATGTCATCCAATTTGGTGGTACCTCTGGCTCCTATCTTTTCCTGGGCTGTGTTTTTGAATCTAACAAAACCCCTGGGTAGTATGTGAAAACAGCTTTTCCCTGTCAAAGTGTTTACCTAATTCTTTTCTTTTCATCTGAAGCCCCTTGGCTTGTGGCTGGCAAATTGGAGCCCACCCCAAAGGAGTTTTTCATTTTTAAGAAGTTTGCACAGATGAGGTAGCAAATACCTGCTTAGGTCATGTAGGGCTGGGATTAGTATCTAGGAATTTCTCTTTCTAGTTTTTACTGTCTTGGTTTTATTTTATTAAAAGGTTTAAGGGAAGAGCATCTTGTTTCTAGTTGATCAGGTCTGTTGCCAAGCCATGGTTCTACCTTGTTTGGCATGACCATAAAGATTTCTTTATAAGTGGGAAATGAAGAACTTTCTAGGAATCTCAACCAGATTCTTACTTGTGCCCTTTCAGCTCTGTGGATAGCATCCTCTAACTCCATGAAGCCTTCTTGGTCCCTCTCCTCCAAATGAATCAAATGAAGTTATTAGTCATAGCCCCCAAATACACTGTCTGCCTGCTCCAGACACTCCTTAAGTCCTCTTCTGATGACATACCATGATTTTATCCCAGAGTGTTCTCTTATTATATACTTGTACATTGTGAATACCCTTAATTTAGAGCTTTTTCAGAGCCCATCTCTCTGAGTTTGGCTTATAAGACACAGAAATAGAGAGCTTTTATCCAGAGCTGCCAGCTGCCTTTTTAATACTTTTGCTAATGTCTATAATCCTTGGGAAGCTGCAGGTCATCTGAAGGCCCACAGGGGGCAGCACTAGGAATGGCTCTTCCCCTCTAGTTCTCTGTGCTGGGGGAGGGGCTACTGGGAGATGATTTCTTTTTCACCAGGCTTCAGAATCCCCTGGTTGAGATCAAAGACTCCTTTACATCAGGCTATTTGCTTGTTAAGTGTTGTTTCAGCTCTCCTTAAGAGTTTGGTCTTGGTTTTTCTTGATAATAAAAACACATGAAAATCTATCTGAGCCACCCAACCTCCCACAAACTAATCTGCCTACACATCATTTCCAGGCACCATTAGCATTTGAGGTGAAGTTCTGTTATACACTCAGGCTGTGGCTCTCTGAAAGTCAGTGCATCACAGAACTTTGTCTCGAAAGCTTTCTAGCAGCTACCCATTTGGGAGTGGGAGGGAAGAATAGACCTTTTAAATCCCTTGAACATGGCCTTAAGCTTGTAGGGTCTTTCTCAATAACCAGCACTTAATGTGTTACAAGGTCAAGCCTAGTCCATTGTTGGGGAAGCCTATTTCTCAATAGCTGGGAGTTATTTATAAACTTGCCCTTTGCAAAAACTTAAAAATGAAATCACATCGTCAGTAATGGCTCCTGGGGCCTTTAAACTGGCTGGTTTTATGGTGTGAGAGGAAGTCCTGACCCTCCCCACTCCTGAGAGGCAAAGACCCCAGGCTGAAGTGGAACCAACTGCAGTCAGGAGGTGGCAGGAGAAGTAAAGGAGAAGCTGCTGGCTCCAGTTGTAGCAGAATGGAGAAATAAAACAGCATTCAAGCTCTTACCTAAATTCTCAGCTTTGTTTAGTGTAGTTATTCTTTTGAAAGTTTGAAATGACCAGCCTTTCCTCTAGTGTCTTCTTACCCCTTTCAGAGTCATTCTAAGTCATCTCCTTGACTTCCTTTGCCTGTCTTTTGTCCTTCCGAGGAAGATTCAGTATTGTTATTTTGAAAATTTCCTTGGTAACGTCTTATAAAACGCTAGTGAAAAGAGCCAGGAACAGAACCCAGAAATCTGTTTCTTTTTTTTTGTCACCTGTTTTAGGCACTCACACATTGTCAGCCACAAAGGACATTGTTGGACTCTCCTAATTGGCAGGTGGCCAGACAGTTTTTCTTTTCTTTGGGATCCCATTCTTTCTAGGGATGCCAGACTCCATGGCTACAAGAACCAGTTACCTATGCCAGCTCAATGCCCAGTTTAAACTATTAAGAAGCTCTCTAAGTTTTCTGTGAATGTGGATAGAGGAGCAGAGCCAAAGGTTTCCAGGGAAAAAGATTGTGGGGGGAAAAATATGTCTTCTACATTTTCTTCCCTATGGACTTCTTTCTTCTCTGCTAAGGAAACTCATTCCCATTCGGATCTCTCTTTTGAGGAACTGAGGATCCAAGTTGCTGTAGAACTGAGCCTACTTTATGGGAAGATCTTTCTGTGGGGAATTAGGAGTTAGGAAAACTGCTTTTATTTGTAACCTATTAGGTGAGAATCTAGAGACTTCCCTCTGCTAGATATAATGTTCCTTTGAGAGAGGAATTGCTCATGCCTTGTTTATTCCAGAGAGTAACATAGAGGATGGGCATCTCTAAGGAGTGTTTATCAGAGGAGAGATAAGTTGGTCGTAATATCACCCAAAATGGCCATACTAGATAATCGACCTATACCTGGAAGTCTGATTATAAGAGGGTTCCCTACGTACATACTACATCAGAACAGTTTTACTTTATTCTGAAACTTTATTCTCATAATCATTCAACAAATATTGACAGTTTAGTAATGGGTTAGGCATTGTTTTGAACACTTGGGGTAAATCAATGAACAAAACACAAAATTGCTGTCCTTAAGAATTCAAGTGAGGAAAGCTTACATTCTTCACCTTGTTCTCAAAAGACTGGGTTTCCTATACTCATTCGTAATGCCCTGAGCTAGGATTGGTTCTTTGCGTGGATCCATAGACTTCCTGGAGCCTCATGGGACAATTTACTTTTATAGACACTACAGTTTCTGGATCCTTGGAAATGATTCTTTTCTCCTCATTCTTGGGTGTTTGTTAAACACAGGCTTGGGAGAGTAAATTTGGCTCCTGTGAGGACTGTGGGTTTCCTAAGTAAGCCAGGAAAGGGAGGTAGCAAAGCAACAGCCTTGTCCTATAGCACAGGGAAAGGATATCAATGGTAAGTAATATTGATTAGAAAGTCAATGTGAGCCTGCAAACACCTATACATACACCACTGCCTGCCTCCCCGTCCTCCTCCTCCTGGTTGGCTGGTTCCTTAGTAGCTGAAGGAGTAGAGGAGCTTTTTGCAAAGTGATATGCTTTGCGGTTATTTGAGTTTGAGAAGCTATGATTCCTTTATGAGAGCCAGTGTCCTCAAAGTTTGATTCTTGGTAGTGAAGAAACAACAACCCTCCCCTAACCCCCCTCTTTATCTCTAGGCCCCCAGGGTGTTTCTAAGATAGATCATCTTCTCATTGCTTCTTAACATCCCCAAAATTCATTTTGGTTTTTTTCCTGGCAAGTTAAGTGGTGGTGGTTCAGGTATAATAGAGGAATTGGGATCACAGGGGAAGTCTCGGGAGACGGAGATGCATGCACACACATGCACCAACATTTCCCTCTGCTTAGTGTGTGGGTGGTTTAGGGAAGGCTTGCTTTATGCCTCTGCATTGCTACTGCATTGGGACTGCAGAAACTTCCAAGTATACCAGGGCATTCAGCCCTGTTTTCAAGGAGCCTTGTGTAGTGGCTATTAATTAACTTGGTTATATTCCATACCCACCTGTGCATGGGAGACCAGTGAGGGAGGGTAATTTGGAAATAACTGTAGCATGATATTTGGAAATAAAAGTATGACCTAGCTTGATTAAGCATTCTGTGGGTCTGGATCAGAGAAACTGTTTATCTGATGCTGCTTTGGAGTCCTTTGTTAAAATGCCTCCCCGCTCAATTCACCTCATTCACCACTTGGTTATTCTCAGTAGGAAATGTCAGTTTTCTAACCAGGTTGGGATAGGGGATACACAGAGGCACCTTAGTGGGACTAGGAGAAGGTATCTGGTTTGCCAGTGGTGGCAGAGCCTTCAGGACTGAA